TTTTTCATTTCCCAGATTCTGGACTTAATCTATTGAACGGTTTTGATTTTTATTTTGATCTATTTTGAATGGCGTGACACTGAAAACCAGCAATTCCTTACGTGATCAATGTTTTTTATGACTGCTGTAAACAGAACTTGAAGTTGACCAGCTCCCAGTCGCTCGTCGCTCGTAGTATCTACACCGTTGTCCAAATGTCATGGCTTCAAATCAAAACGTTAACTCAAATTTTTGTCTACATTTTCTTTGAAACTCCTTTTAGTTGGTTTCTTAATTAACTACCAATAGTAGTTTTTCACACGTTTTTTTGTTTATCTTACAGCTTGTTATCAGCAAGATACTGCCATGTGATAAAAATAACGTTACAGATAATTTCCTTGAGTGGTTTGTGACCGCGTGTCAGAGACTCGAAAACGATCTTCGGGCACTGAGTGAATCAGGTATTTTATCATATAGACGCGAGTGTTTTAATGGGAAATATACCACTCGTAAAGTTCCTACGAAACCACATCCGGGACCCGAGTGACGTATTTTCCATATCCTCGCTAGTGAAGATATTGATGACGTAATTTCCCGCTTTTTCACGGTTGTTTGTGCAAGCAGTCAGGTTGTCTATTTAATAAAAAGAAAATTACACGGTGTTCAAAACAATACAATACACACTTGCTGCGCTCGTTCGTAAATATTGTTCTTACCACTTGAAAATGAAATTCATTTCTTCAAGCTACCGTGCAATATCCTCTATATATTGCATATCTTTTTTTGGAACTTTGAAAGAACGTGAAAGAACTAGGAAGAACTGCTGTCTGAATGTTTACAAAACCTTTTTCCTGTAGGTTTAGAGGATTACGGATCTCTTTCCAATCCTAAACCATTTACTGTACGGTTTCGTGTCATGTGTATGGCGCAAGTGCTTTGGTGTGTGATCAACAGTGGTGTGAGGAACGATTCATGCTTAAAGGAAATCAATGCTGTCAAAGAACTGCTGGTGAAGATGGTGCAGGACATTATTCAGGTAACTTGTGCAATGAACGACTTTCTTGCAAGCGATCAAAACTGAATCTCCAAGAATAAGAAACCATTTCGAGCATCTTGTGAAAGCTGTGTTTAAAGCCGAGCAACTGTAATTGTTTCCACGAGGGGTTGTCTTTGAATTGTTAAACCACGTGTGGAGGAGTAATGAAAACTACATCGCAATTGAATTTTTGTTGGACAAAAATATCTGTCTCCAAGAGTACATTTGCCTTTAAATCAAGGTGCTCGTAATAGTTGACTGTTTGGATCAATGTTTGCATGAAGTTTATAATTGAATTTTTTTGATGTATTTTCTCATTTAAATTCGTATTCATTACCTTTCACTTCACAGGTGAACAACCCGCTTCATCCATGGCTTACAGAACATGCGAGCGAGTTAATAAGCATAATCTGTGAACAAGAAGAAGCTAAATAAGAGTAAATACAGCGATACGAGAAGAGGGGATGATATCTTTGTAATGTACACGTGTACGTTGTGACGAGGTCCTTCAAGTAGCAGCCAGCTGTGAACTGAACATTGACCTTTAGGCTACCTTGTCTGTTCGAAGTCGTAATCACAGCATGAAGGACACTACATTTGTCTTGGAAGCGGATCATTTGTGTCAAGAAAGACTTAGCTGCTGAAGAAGTGTTTTGTTGCCGTCTACAGATAAAATGATCCAGGCTTTTTACAAATTTGTTCAGTACTTATTTTGTTGAAGGGCTTTTTTAATATACCTTTTCATGCTTCACACAAATAAGAGGTGACATTTTAGGACAGTGAACTGTACAAATCTACGATTAAAGACCGTCCAAGAGCAATGAAAGAGCTGCAAAAGTAATGAAAGAGCTACAAAAGCGAGCAAAGTCCCACTGACGTTTGGTCGTAAGCTCAAAGTTAGAATGAAATGTTATTAATGCTAAGTCCAAACTATAGGTGGTCGACGAAAAAGAAACGCTAACGATAAAAAAAAAATTATTGTCTTGAGCAATGAGTCTTGTACGAAAGGAGTCAGTCTGTGTTCTAATTAGGGTTGATATTCAACGAATAGCATCACATATCCGAGGCAATCAATGGGGACACTTTCTCGATTTCTTTTAGAAGGCTAATGTGAGTTTCTAGTCGCCGAGATCTTGTTTTAAAAATGTGATGTTGTCGTCGACCTGTCAGCCTACATGACGTGTATTACACCCGGAGGGAACTCCCACACAAAAGGACGGGAGTGCTCGTCGGAAATTTTGAAAAGAACCCCTAAAAGGTACCAACATCCTGTTTTGTGGGCGTGGCTTGAAATGTCTTTCACCCCTATGAGGTACCAATTGTCAAACATCACATTAAATGACATTGCCTGTTTTGGGCTCAATACCCTAAAAGGTATCGCCAAAGCTCCGCTGTGGACCTGAAGAGGTACCAAACCAGCTTTTTTAAGCCCTAAAAGGTATGACGAGCACCCCCGCCCTTTCTGTATGGGAATTCCCCAGGACATTACACTGGTCACATGAGAGCGACTATATCAACCATTGTTGAGTTACGATTGGTTTCCGATTGGTGGCAATCATCAAGCACTCGTCTTCTCGCTGCTCAGGAGGGTATTTGATTGCGGAGCTCCGAGCGGAGCCCCATAGCTTAGAAAATTTGGGACTCATTTAGCTAAGAGTTTGCTTGTCACGTGACTGTCCTTACGTACACAACTTGCAGTGCGCGTTTCCAAATTTACAAGCTTTCAAGGTCTTGTTTTCCTTCATAACACAGAAAATTGAATGAAAGAAAAAAAATCGTGGGCTAGGTAATATATCAAACACGAAAGACCGTGTTTGACCAAATTTCCAAACACCGAGAAAAGAGTTGAAAATACGATGCGTAGCGGAGTATTTTTGACGAATTTCGAGGAAATGTGGTCGAGGAAACTTCGTTTGGAAATGTGCTCAAATATTTTCTTGGGTGCTTGATATATCTTCTTAGTCGAAACTAAAAATAACGAGAAGACGAAGAAACAAAATTACAGTGGAACCTTCGGGCCATGGAAAATTGGTCGAGGTAAGGTCACATCATGATGCAACACGCTTTAAACATGTACTGCACATGAATACCTTTAATTCGCCTATAAATCAACCTTTTTAGAATTATTCTTCAACCTTACAACAGCAATTCATTGCAACTGAACAAAACAGAGTACATGTAATGCAAAAAAACAATGACGTCTTTCAGTTATTCTACAGGATATGGCCTCGTGTGAGATGTCTGGAAGAGCCGTTATTTGTCGGATTGTGCCTGTCTTCATTCAGCTTCCTCACCAGTCAGTTTAACCGGTCGTGTTAACGGGGTAATTTTATAAAGAAAATAAGGACTGAGCACTCCAAAGGGTGGTCGTT